ACAAGATCTTCATAATTGCAAAAAATAAAATCAAGAGCAGAGTGGCCCCTAGTTGATTCGTTAACATATTGAACAAAACCATGCGTGGCGATGTAATCTACAAACAGTTTCATAGAGCCTGTCTGCGCTGACCTTTTCGAAGCAGAGAAATCAACATGAGGAAGATTGAAATCTCCTAATAAAATTGTGGGGCCATTGAACGCTGAGAAATCGCTCAGCGCTTTTGTGAGATTGATGAAATTGGTCGCGCTACAGTTAGGCACTCTGTAGATCAAAATCAAGCGTATAGATTGGCCAGAGATCAGAAGATCACATACAAGAATTTCATGGGAGTCAATTATCGATTCAGAAAAAACAACATGTGCAGATAAAGTTTTTCTGAACAAAATGGTAACTCCTCCCCCTTTACGGCGGGTCCTGTCACATCTGTAACCACAATAAGCAGAAGAGACAATACCAAGAATGGAAGCCAACTCATTTCTAGATTTTAGCCAAGTCTCGGTCAAAAATATAATATCAAGATGCTCTCCACAGATTTTTAGAACTAGATCGTCCGCGTTTCTGACCAAAGAACGTACATTGGTTAAACAGCATAACAAACGAGTCGTAAAAGTCCAAGGATGCGTATTTAGTTTACCGACACATCCGCAGAAGGGGAAGACATGACAATAGAATCATCATTTTGTGGCAATGGATCAATAGGTGAAACATTAGACAAGCTATGATGTTCCTTAGGGGTCGTATGTGCATTAGAGGCTTTAGACTGCCGTTCTTCTCTGATACGGTCTCTTACTTCCTTCGGTAAGGAAGGACGGATATAGACCCCTTTCTCAGAGAAGAACCTCAGCCGAGGGGCTCGAGAAACCATTTGCTTTTGGAAAACACTAGCAGGAAGAACAACTTTCAAAAGGCGAGGCTTCTGTGGATTTTTCCTCCCCATGCGATACACTGCAGAGGGAAGACACTCAACATTTAGGAAATCCAGGAGGGCCAGCGTGCAGTTGTAGTCATAGTACGTTTTTTGAGAAGGAAGAGAACAAGGGGATTCAGGAACGCCAGCAACCACGATTGAGCGCTTCATCTCAATATCACTTTGAGAAGGCGAATCCATTTTCAACTTACGGTTTTCTTCTTTAAGATCCAAGTTCTCCTTCACGATTGCGCTCATTTTTTGGTTGAGATCAGCGATCTCCTTCTTAGTCTCCAGCAATATGTCGACCATCAGTTTTAGATAGCTAGGAATAGCTTCCTCGGCAGTTATAGCTCGTAGACGCTCAGTAGGATCTGCTACGGGAGAAGAAGCTTCAAAACGGCCACGATTAGCAGGCACGGAAGAGGATCGGAATGGGGACGCCATGGAGATCATCGATGAATATAGGAAATCGATGGAATGCTGGGGTGCGCGCTCAACTAGACAGCGCGGGATTCAGAAATATAGTTTTGAAAGTAGGAGAATGCCTTGAAAGAACAAGCAGGCCCCGACGAGTAGGAGGAGGAAGTAGGACCGCAGACAACAGGAAATATAGAAAAAAATGCAGTAGGAGGTAGGTCTGTGCGGCCACAAGAAATCCGGACGACAGCAGAGGGGGGGCAAAGACGACCGCACGGCGCGGGTGCAAGGCGTGAATGAAAAAATTTTGGAACGCTTCACGAATTTGCGTGTCATCCTTGCGCATGGGCCATGCTAATCTTCTCTGTATTGTTCCAATTTTAGTATATGTTCAGGAATGAACAATTTGGGTGGACGGTGCCCCTAACGCCTACATATCGTCCTCCAGCCTGCATGCTATAAGTCATACTAGCTGGCTTACCCGGCTCCGCCGTATGTTCCGAATAGAAAATTCCATTTCTGAACCGATCGGGACCAGGCATGCTGATCACCCCCCGTGGGGGTGATCAGCATGCTCGATTACACCCCTCTGCCAATTTCCAGTCCCCTAGCTCAAATTTTGCAAAAAAATTGATAAAATCGACATCGTTCGATAACGAAAAGTGGACTGTGACACCCGCCGGGGCCCGAAGTGTATGTGTGCCAAGTTTGGTCCGGATCGGTTAAGAAATGGAATTTTCTATTCGGAACATACGGCGGAGCCGGGTAAGCCAGCTAGTATGACTTATAGCATGCAGGCTGGAGGACGATATGTAGGCGTTAGGGGCACCGTCCACCCAAATTGGGGCTGGTGAGATTATGATACCTAGCAGATGCGGGGCCCCCAACTGTATGATTGCCCAACTCGCGCTGCCTGAAGTTGCTTCCGAACGGAGAAAATTGCTTTGGAAATCGCTTCAGGCCGCGTTCGCGACGTTGGCTCCTCCCCTTTCGGAGTGGGCGTGACGTTCGTCCCGCCCATCCGTACGCGTCCAACCAATCACCGTACGAAGAAATCGCTCTTCGGGATCTGAAAACGAGGTTTTTCGTGGTTTTCGCGAATTTTCAACTTGATATTTGGAATCAGGGGTATGAGAAGGCTCTGGAACGGCAAAAACATGAAGGTCGAAATTTTGGATGGACGGTGCCTCTGCCGGCGCAGACAGCTGGCATTAGCTTGTAGTGTGAAGGGTGCGTAACTTGTTGCAGATGGCTGCGTGGGACCTTGCTCTTGGCGGCATAAAGTCCTCTACTCCACAAGCAAGCTCAGGCCACTACTAGATGATGTCAATTAGGATCGTCTCCGAAGGTCTGCAAAAATTTGCGATGCTAGTGATTTGCATTGTATTCGAGCGCACAAAGCACTACCAAAGCGACCAGAGAGAATGAATTAAGCAGGATTGCGATGACTTGCCGTAGCAGATCGCAAACGATTGCAAAAGCATGGAGATGCGTACCACAATGCCAATGTTGTTCTGATCAAGGTTTGGACTTCTTCCAGACTGTACAATTTATGCCAAATAAAGGCGGCTGCCAAAGTACGGGAGCACGGGACCCGCGCCATCATCATGGTTTCGCGCAAGGCCTATAAAGGATGCTCTATGCTATTAGAAGTGGTGGGGCTCGTGAGATCATGTCCTGCGCGGCCGCCTCGCATGCCTGCACCTCTTTCAAGCGTGCTTCTCAAGCTAAATTAGCATCAAAGAGCACGCTCGCGAGAGGTGTAGAGCCCAAGCGAGGCGGTCGCGCGGGACTCGAACCGCACGAGCACCCTTAATGACACACATAGTACGAACAGGGGAGCTCTATATTACATCCTTGTGCTTCTGTTGCTCATGCCCCCCTACTCCCACGGAGGTGATTGAACCGCGTCTGCGACCGTTACTTGAAGGCAGTGTCGCAAAAACTCGATTTTGAGATTTTGTGCTTACCCGGGCCTGTTCGCTACGCTGAGTCCGAAAATGCGCATTGGAGAGCGTGAAAACGGCGAAAAAGGGCTCTAACGCAGGAGGGAAATCAGAAGTGGGCGGGGTCTTCCCCACTGTGATTTTCGCGGTCCCGGCTTTTGAAGCAATTTTCTCAACTCCGCTAGCCCTCTGAGATCTCCACAGGCCAAGTGCAAACGCATGACTTGAAATCGGGACCGAGAAGATCGCTCCGGAAGCTTGGAGCGTGAATCCGCAGTGGGGAAAACCCCGCCCACTTCTGATCTCCCTCCTGCGTTAGAGTTCTTTTTCGCCGTTTTCGCGCTTTCTAAGGTGGATTTTCGGATTCAGCATAGTGAATAAGCCCGGGTAAGCACAATTTCTCAAAATGGACTTTATGCCCGGACACTGCCTTTAAAGGCAGTGTCCGGGCAGAAACTCGACTTCTAAAAAATCAACTTATCTGGGGTTATCCGCAACGCTGAATCCGAAAATCCACATCAGAAGGCGCGAAAACGGCGAGAACATGCATTTTCCAAGTCCTCACATTTCGAAATTTGGGGATCCCCGCCAGGCTAAGACGCAGAGGTTGCAAAGAGCGCACGGTTTTTAACTGTGGCGGCATACGTACTCTGCCGTCTGGCAGGAATTCAAACAGCTCGGAGGACCCCGCCCCAAGGCGTAAGTTTCCCCAATTTGCAATCGTTTTTCTTGCTTTAGGTCGAACGTTTTATGCTCGCAGTTGCGCGATGTTGTGTCTCAGGGGGGCTACTTTCACATGGCAGAGAAATCTCAGAACCCCCATTTTGCCCGAACACTGCCTTTAACACATTCACGACAATACGACCCACCGGTGGGTCGTACGTGTTCTGCTGTTTCGGACAATACGACCCACCGGTGGGTCGTATGCTTTCTGAAGTTTTTGATTTTGCTAGTTGACGGTAAAACTTTTTAGGCAAACCGAGTAAACTCCCGTATACACCTCTTGGAGTACTTCTCAAAAGATTAACACTTCAAACCATATTACCCATCAGTGACCTGAAAATATCACGCAAACTCAATTTTGCAAAATATGCTCTGGTCCGAAATGGCAGTCATCGAAAAATCGGCGCTGTCGTGAATGTGTTAAGGGCCGAGCACCTCACGCGATTTCAGTCTTGACGCGATTTGGCAAAAAGCCAGAAGTCTTCAGATCCAACACTAGCAGGCTGCACATGCATAGTGTATATAACGTACGTGGATTGATGCCCCTATCTTCTGTGCATTTAAAATCTCACAGTGAGTTATGGACAATTGGAAGATTGCCAAATCGCGTCGCGATTGAAATCGCGTGAAGTATGCCCGGCGCTTAATATGGCCGGCCAACCAACTCCGTTTGGTAGCGGACTCCATGCCGCAATTACATATCGTAATGAATACACACAGGGCTTACCAGTTGCAGTGTCGGATGCACCAGCATCTTCACTCCAGCGCGGGACTCTGCACCTCTCCCGCGAACAGGCTCTCTAATCATATTTAAAGGCGAGTGAGGCTCCGCCTTTTCGACGCTCGCGTGGAAAAGTGATCAGAGAGCATGTTTGCGAAAGAGGTGCAGAGTTCATGCGAAGCGACAGCGTGCGAGCGGTGATGCCAATGCTCCCGACACTGCAATTAATAAGCCCTGAACAGTCTGCAGACAAAAACATAACTGAACAGCATCTACTTACCGCAGCAGCCTCAAGGCCAGCAATCCCCACAGTTTCTGGATCTGTGTCGCCGCTTGAACCACATGAGGTGGACGAAACAGATTCCCTCATTTTATGTTTCTTGGAGCGGAACTTCTCCACTCTTTCCGCCAACTCGCAAGCAAATTTTGTAGTTTTTGAAGTGTTCGAGAAAACCATGAGTTTTTGCGAGGGTTTCATCGTCTTGCGAACTGGACGTCGATGCTTCGTGTTTCCTAAACGAAAAAATCATGTGCAGCACACAACAGACGGAACCCAACCAGTTTTTGTAGTGCCTAACTCCAAGTGCTTAAGAAGTTCATTTTGTTCAAGCTTAAACATGCGACTCTCTATTCTCAGCAAATCTATCTGAAAGCAAGTTCGTAAAACACTCGAATACTTAGGTAAAGTGCTTAAAATTACTCTAAAAACGACCTGCATAGTTTTCATGGTCCTTAGCGAGATCAGCCGAAAAGCATGTAACAGTTCACCAAACTAAAGTGAGAAGGATTCACTTACCGAGAGCTCCTCACGTTTGTCAAGAAGCTTTTGCAGCTCTTCCAGAAAGCCATTGCATTCCTTCACCATCTTTATCAACTTCAGGAAGCGGTACTTGAAAGCTGCGCAAAAGTTTGCGTGGATGATGCGTCATCGCTGTAGGACCACGAGCAAAGCCATCAAATCAGAGTATTTCTCCCTATAGATGTATTGGATGAATCTTCGAGGAATCATAACTGCCTCAGCTCCGTCGTTTTCTTTCTGCCATTGCTCGAGCCAGTTCAGGTTGCTATGGCCGCAAGGCTTTATCGATGAAATCTTGTTTTCACTGCTAGAGCTATGCTAACAGGGCTCAGCACAGCTGGCACCGGGTCAAGCTGGATATCGTTTTTAGCGCGGAAAGCAAAGGGGATATCGTTCTACACGGGCCGAGGCGGAGAACTGCTGCAAAAATGCCGCCGGCATGCCACCGGCATGCCGTTGGAAAGCTGTCCATCAACAAACAAAGGCGTTGTTTTCAGCCAAAACGCAATAGTATGACACCAAATTTGGTGTGTGCATGCGCGTTGGTGGACCGGGACTATCGGCCAAAAATTTATGAAAACTTATGTGAATGAAAGCTGTGCCCAACTTTTTTCCGAATTAGTTGGCACCGTGCCAGCTGGGTGCCAGCTGAGCTGGCACCGACACTTTGCTCACATAAGTTTTCATACTTTTTTACATAAAATTTATCTACACTGTAAAAGATTACATACGGAGAAGAAACAGTTTCATAATGTTCTCTTTTCAGCGTTTTATAGCAATTTGAAAACCACTCGGTCCGCTCCGCCGAAAAATCGGCTTTTTCTGCTTCTCAAGATGTGATTCGACCACTTAAAAAGCTCAGAAAGCTGTGAAAAGTTCTTTCATGAAATCAGAAATGCATGAAAACACTACTACATTTTTTTACATAATATAAAAATGATGACGGTTTTCAAAACAGGTCAAAAAGGGACTTCGTACGAAATTTTCAATATCAAACGGGACTTCGTTTTGAAATTTCGCTGGTGCCAGCTCGTGCCGAGCCCTGTATGCTAAGAATAGGTGTAACAAAATATTAGGTATGACGACAATATTCTTCTGACTAAGGCCCAATGGCGTAGCGAGGGAGGGGGGAGGGGGGGTGGGAGTGGGGGGAAGGGGAAGGGGGATGCGGCCCTTCCCCCAGGACACGTATATACAGTAAGTTTCGTTAGCCGTATCGTATCGCACTGATACGCCAACACCTTCGAAGATATCGCCACTCCATAATTTTTTTCCTATTGCGCATTCAAAATGACTCTTTCCAAGCGATGTCTAAAGTTGTACGCAATGGCAATGTTCCGAAAAACATTGCCATACTTTCTTTTTTTGTGATGATCTTAGCTCATGTCTGTAAAATGATTTTCTTTCTTAATTTTTCAGTGAATAGCACTTGAAAAGCACGATCTGAACGTGTAATATATAAGAAGAAAAAATTTGACCACCATGGTTTGTATTTTCGCACCCACTCCTTTTGCAATCAGTGAAGCTCTGCGGCAGCACTCAAAATGTGTGGGTCATTGGCGAAAAAAACTGCCAAAATATTTGAAACAAAAGTTTGCATCAAAACGTGGCTTTCGCTCGTCCAGACAGAGCTAAGTACACAGCATCTGTAATGATATTGCTATTGGAGGCTTTTTTTAGAGTTTTAAAAGGGAAGTAATGATTACCTCTCCAAAATTTCACCTTTTTTCTTTTAGCAAAAGTCGTATTGCATATAACTTTTCGGTATTTAGATTAAAACTCAAAGCCATTTCAAACAAAATGCAGATGTCTGGAAAAGGATCATGTGCAAAAAAGTTGTATTTGTCCATAACGCTGGTTTCTTGATCAGTGCTCCTAGTCGTCTCTCTCATCAAAATAGTAAACCATCCTTTACTGATGCCGGATGCCAGCGTACATTTCATTCCAGCTGCTTAGGCAGTCAAGCTTTTCATTATTATTGACATTAGAGCCTTAGTTGAACCACTATTGCATTTGAATATCTAGCCATAAGGATTGAGGCTGGTTCTGTGCAAAATGATAAATCAACTTACTTTTTAGACGACTACTACATTTTCGAAAGAAGATTTGTAATTTCAAAATGCGAATTTCTTGATCAAAAACGACTTACAGTACCACATAAGAATGGTAATGGATTTTTGTAAAAAGTCAATGAACCGAGCAGATCGGCGTAAAAGTCTTGGGTGACATTTGAGGAATGCTTCGTATAGATGAAAGTAAGCTCAAAGTGGCCTTTCAAAAAGCAGGGTTTCGATAATGGTTGTGTCCAACAACGCCTATTGATATGGAAGCAATATTTGAAGTGAGATCAGAACAGCCGATATTTCAAAAAAGCAACAAAGCCATTTCAAATTCTGGCAGATGCAAAAACTGTCAGGCAAAGTTTGCTCATTTGGTTTTGCAACTCTCTTGTTTCAATTCTTTGTGAGCTTTCGACCGTTCCGGTGCTCATAAACCGAAAACGGTAAACATGTGGCATCCTTTGTGGTGACGTCATCGCTGCACATAGCCACATGTTTACACTTGATGGGGGCCCTGCGAATTATTATAGTAGATGATACCTACGTGGGTGTATCGTCCTCTCCACAGATCGTGCTACCCTTGGTCTGCGTCTTAGACCTGCCACGTGTGGCTAACATGTTGGCAACGTGGCAACAACATGTTTGCAACATGCCACAACATGTTGGCAGAACATTTTGGCCACGCCAACATGTTGCTGCATGTTGCCAACGTGTTGCTGCCAACGTTGCCAATGTGTTAGTCACACGTGACACGTCCGCGACGCCACAAGGGTAGCACGATCTGTGGAGGGGACGATATGTCGAAAGGCGCGCGTTTCGAGATCGTCATTCCCAGAAGTATTTGAACTTTGCAAAGGCGAGGTTTCCAAACTTCGAAAGTCTGCCATTCTATCAGTAATAGTGACAGAGGATCACTAGTTGAAACTCCTAAAGTAGAGAACTAAATCTGAACTTTTCCTGCTTCTTCTAATTAGTGACAGTCGATAAATGCGCCCCATTCAACCGTCTCCCCCTATACAGTCTTTTTCACCAGGAGTAGGCGAAACATTTCACGTGGAGCAGCGCGTCCGCACCGCCACTGGCCCTGCGAGATAGATTAGAATGAAGAGACGCAGACTGAAAAGCGGCGCGATGCAAAGCGGACTCCCGCCAGTCCAGTTTCCGCCTGAATTGAATTAACTTACTATACCTAAATCTAAACGGCTGTGCAAAGCGCGCCCCATGACCCAATGCAAAAGTAGCCGGGGCGCATGGTTACTCTCTTGGAGCACGCTAGACATAGTGAACTGATAATTATTTGCACGCAGTTCCTGCCTGTAAGTGATTCTGTGCATACAATTCTTGCTGTGTTGCAAAAGATTCTTTGCTTTTTGACATAGAGTTGCTTGCAGTATAACTAGGGGTTCTTTGCATTCAGTGAATGCGATGCGACCATTGTGGGAAAAAGTAATGGTGTCCTTCCAAGAACTATGCCACAATTCATAGCGTGAAGTAGATATGTTGTACAGAAGGAATTTCTGGATGATTTTGGAGTAATGTAATTGCATGTCAACTGAAGTGTTTACTTAGTCCATTCGATAGTCTATTAGAGAGAAACTGTAAGCCAAGGGTTGTTTCAGACTGTCGCACTGACCGCAGCAGACTGCAGCAGACTGCAGCTGACCGCACTGACCGCAGCTGACTGCAGCAGACTGCACCAGACTGCAGCTGACCGCATTGACCGCGGGGCCGCACAGATCGCCACATCCTTTTGTGAAGGTGGGGTGGATAGATAGTTGTAGCTCAAACAGTCTCTTAACAATATATGCCCCAATAGACAACACGGGCGGGAGTAAAATAGGTACCGTCTGCACCCCAGAGAGGTTCCCATGTGAACCAGCATGCGTACGTGGTGCGACGCTGCCTTTCGCTCTTTTTGACACGTTTCACCTGAGATTTCAACGGTAGTGCCCGAGGTTAACACGTTCAAAAGTGCGAAAGGCAGCGAGATGACGTGGTACCTATGGGAACCTTTCTGGGGCGCAGACGATATATGCAATGACAAAATGAATCTGAACAAATATAAGCATTATTAAAGAAAAACAATCGCCAAAATTTGATTGAAAAGAGCAAATTAGAACCTATGAACGTTCTAGGCGTAAATCACGGCGTTTTGATGTATTCGCAACTATTTTCTCTTTTATGAAAGGACGCGCGACTGTGCAGTCTGCTGCGGTCAGTGCAGTCAGCTGCATTCTGCTGCAGTCAGTGCGGCAGTATGAAACAACCCCAAAGTTTCCTTTTTGGAGTTCCAATGACTCAAGTATTTTTTGCGAGTAGTAGTCTGGTTAATTACTACCATAGTGATAATGCTTTGAGCAAAGACAAGGAAACATTAGCAAGCTGTGTTCGTAGGACTTTAATTTCACAAGGAAGTAATTTGGTAACTAGCTTGTTTATAATCAAACATTCAAAAGATTTACAACATCTAGTGATCAAGTGAAATGTAGTTTGTAGCCGATGCTTTTGAGACAAATCTAGCACGTATCGATACTTCATTATGACTTCTTGCACGCTTTTTTGCACTCTTCTTTGTCCTGGTAGAGAGCGATATTCATTTTTTGCATCCTTTCTTTTGCGGCAACAAATGACTTTCGTGTGTAGACTCTCAAGCATGATTCGTCCCCGGCTGCGCAACCATAGTAGCGATTTCTGGAATAAGGCGTTCTTCTGTGTTTGCATGCTATAAAATAATGACGTCACTTCTTCTTCTTTTCTTTTTCTTGTGACAGTGTTATACTACATATTCCGAGAAGAATCAGAAGCACTAGAATATTCATGCTCGCTTCCAAGCAGGTGTACCTGCAAAGAAGAAATAAAGTCAAAAGTAATTTCAGACAAAATAACGCTTGATCTTTTCAGCAGAGAAGGAATGCTTCAGCTTATTAACTTTTCTCGTACATTTGTAGGGAAGCAACTCGACTTGAAAAAAGACTTCAAAGATTTAAGGCTAGCTTGCTATTATGCTTGCTACTAACATACGACGTTTTTCAAAAATTGCAAGGCCTTAGCGCAAATCTCACGCCAACGAGCAATTGAGAGTTTTTGTTTCAATCATTTACAGTAAAACATTATAGCATCATTGTGAGAAGAAGGGGAGCTGGATAATGGAAAGTTCGACAAAGCTAAAGCAACTTGGTAAATTGTGCAAGCAAAATTAATATGCTGAAATCGCGGGACTCGAGATGTGAATTGCGACAGCGTCACAGATTGGTTAAACAAAATGTTAAATGTCTAATATTCCCCCCCCCTCCCCCCTCTCATACGCACATGGCAGGGAGTGCTATTTTGTATTCCAAAACGGACGTAGCCATTGTAATCTTATGCAAACATCGCATCATTCGTTCACAGTGGCTCATTAGTTGTGCTATTGCCCAGCAGCGCAATTCCATTGGACTCAAAGTGGAAGGGAAAGCCTTAAGGGCCGGGCATACTTCACGCGATTTCAGTCGCGGAGCGATTTGGCAATATTCCAACTGTCCATAACTCACTGTAAGCACATTTTCAATGTACAGAAGATAGGGCATTCCAATCAATCCACGTAAGTTATACATTCTATGCATGTGCAGTTTGCCAGTATTGGATCTGAAGACTTCTGGCGGATTGCCAAATCGCGTCGCGACTGAAATCGCGTGAAGTATGCCCGGCCCTTTAGGCGACAAAAAGTGCAGAACGTAAGCACCGTGAAACTAATTAGCGAACTAAATCGCTACTATGCGCCACTTTTTTAATGGAGTCGAATCACTTATAGTTTATTTATAAAACCGTAACCACGGATTTTACTGCGGACTTTGCGCCCACAGAAGCATAAAACGCTCATACAAGAAGATATCACCTCAATTTTCAGTTTAGTCACTTCCAATGTCTAAATATTATTATACGTAAGAAGTGATACCATTTAACTAGAGCTGAAAATCAAGAAAATGCGATTTTCGGAGGTGGCGTGCGTGTCGCGCGCGGTCGCGCCATTGTCACGATTTTTCAAATGCCCTTTATACAGGGTGTCCCAAAAAAATGTGTCGAACGTTTGATCGTTAATATCTCTCTTCTGAAGAAGTCTTTTCCCTTGCTTCAGGCACCAATCTGTAGAGCTGGCTTCAACTTAGATTTGCATTATAGAACGAATCACTCTTCTCTCCTCATTACTGTAGGATTACGGTAGAAACTTCAAAGAGGGTTTTAAGCAATGAAAGGCCATATTTTGCCTCAGAAGGAAACAAAACAGCCTCAAAACTTTTACACTAGGCTAATTAGAGTTGCTGATTATAACTGTAGAGCTCCCAACTTATTATGATGCTTCGTTGAAGAGTTATGCCAGGTAAGGCCCCGGGCAGACTTCACGCGATTTGATCGTCGCGACTGAATCGCGAGGAGACAACTGTTACAACATCATTCCATGCAGATCAACTTGCATTCGGTTGTGATACTTTTCCAGACCGAAATTTTTGAATGTGAAATGAAAATGAATGGAAATCTTGGCGATTTGGTCGCGACGATTAAGTCGCGTAAAGTCTGACCGGGGCCTAAGAGGTAGCGGCCATTTTTTCAATGTTCCTAAAAAATGCGGTCACCGTTTAGAAGGCTTCGTAATCTCGTGAATAGTTGAGTATCAAACTCAGCGTCCATAAAAACCCTATTACACAAGTTTTCACATTTTTTTTGAAAAATTTTGAAACTACAGCTTTTTCCACATTGAAACCACATGTTTCAAGTTTCTACCGTAATTCTACAGTAATGAAGAGGGATGGGTGATTCGTTCTATAGCAGATCTAAGCTGAAGCCAACTCTACAAAACGGTACTTGAAGCAAGGCAAAAGATCTCTTGGGAAGAGAGATATTATCGATCAAACGTTCGATACATTTTTTGGGACACCCTGTATATCAGCCCCCTGCTTTTGCCGCCGAAGACGTTTCGCACGGGATTTTTTGAAGTCCAAAAAATTGAGTTAGTCGCTCAACGCCCTACACCCGAATTGCAGTATATACCCTGGTAGGGTCTCCCAACCAACACCGCGTTACCAACTGCCCCCTGGAAATCAGAAGCAATCCTGGTAAGTCTGCTCGCGGCCGGGATATGTCTAGGACGAAAACCTTATGCTTTCCTACAATGCCAGAGCAATCTCCATAAACGGCGGCCTCTACGCTCTTCTCGCGCCGCAGAGCATGTCAAGCCACATCATAGCTCTAGAAGTCCGGGAAGAAAGAGTAAGAAGACAAGATGGATAAGGATAACAGATAAATGATGGGACCCACGTCATTTGTGGTGAGAGAGTTTCACCACGAGACGCTGGAGGCCTGGCTTTGTCGTCCAGCCATTTATCGTCAATCTTGTTGATTTGTATGAGATCCTATCACAGCGACTGGCCATTCTATTATACTTCTACATCCCTCGAGTCAGAAAGCCATCGCATCAGTAGCTGCACTCGCCAACATAAGCGGCTGAGGAATCAGAATTGAATGCTTTCTACGAAGACATGGAAGAGGTTGTCTGCAACAAAAAGTCTTTCTATAAAGCGCAGGGGGGGGGGGGGGCATTTGACGTCACGCTGCCGCGACGATGTCAACAGTTCCGTCTGTGTCGAATATTGTTGTGCCGAACAGGTTGTTAGGTGGTCCTTTTATTGTCAGTACTCTTCGGCCTTACGTTTCGACGCTTTCGTCTTCATCAGAGGCCTGGAATGGTTCAAAGCTTCATCCGTAACTCCAGCCCATCAAACGTCTCTACCAGCCCTTGCCAGTTTTCGGCGCTTCCCCCAATCTAGTGCTATAAGAATTGTGCTGGCAAAAGACATACCAGGGAACCACCGCTTCGTTAGATGTCCGTGCCGGATGTAGATGTTCGCGACGGACGACTGAGCTATACTGAGGGATGTCACATAAACAGTTATAGCTCACATAATGATAAAAACGGAAGGAAATCAGCGGTTATGGATGAGCACTCGTTTTTGTTGTTCATTTCTGGATTCTTTGCAGAAATCCAGAACGATTCTAAGGCTTTCCTAGCCGAGATCTCTTTTTCAAGTGTTAGAATTGTGACTTTGATATCAAAGTCATCTCCACCATGCAATTCGTGCCTATGTCTGCCAAGCGGCGAAGCCAAGTTCTTACGCCTTTTATCTGACAAATGCTCTTTGATGCGAATGCCGAGTGTTCTTCCTGTTTCCCCAATATAGCGAGCATTACATTTCAGACATTCAAGCTGATACACCACTCCCATCTTCGCGCAGTCACCCATTCTGCCGTGCGGGCATATCATGCATTGCTCCGTATTGCAGTATTGATCGTAGAGCCTGTTACGTACGAGCTGTTTTTTGATATTATCATTGGGAATGTTCACTAACATAATATCATCTTGCAGCTGCGCACGAACGATGCATTTCTGTATGGCCGCGCTGATCTTATCAGAAATGAATGGCAAGCAAAGTGGAAGTTTGTCATCAGCCCGAATGTTGTTGCCATTTCTCCGATGGTGAATGTGCGGTGAAGAATGGTAACCGTTACTGCAAGCTATTTGGGTAGCCAGTCTTCGTGACTCGCATCGCTCCTCTTCTCCGTTGCACATCTGCATCGCGGTTCTAAACATATTACCAATGACAGCACGCTTTACAGAAGCAGGATGTGCAGATTTTACGTTGATGAGGATATTTTTGGAGCTTTCCTTGCGATACCATTTGACTCTTACAATGCCAGCGGTCACCTTTACTTGAGCATTGAGATAAGGCAGCCATCCATCGCGAGGTATCTCACGTGTGAGCTTGATGCACTGTGATTGCTGGTTAAGAATTCTGAAACACTCGTCCATTTCGGACTGTGTTGAAGTTGCGACACAGCAATCATCGATGTAACGACAGTACATCAGTGGCATACGTGCTAGGACTGGCTCTTCAATTCTGCTCATAAAGCATATGGCGAGAATTGGTGCTAGCCTTTGGCCCATAGCTAATCCACGTATCTGGGAGTAATAAGTCCCAGACCATCTAAAGATGTTGCATTTTAGACATTCTTTCACTAGGGCCATCGTATGCGCTTTGCTAAGTCCAAACATGTTCATTGTATCAGCATGCTTATCCAACATTTCCGATAACGCTTGCAGAGCCTGGTCATTCTGCACATTAGTGTAAAGAGACGTTACATCAAACGACTCAATTACGGTGCTCGAATCAAACTTAGCGTTTCGAAGCTGTTCCACAAACTCGTGTGCATTGGATAAGTGTGCTGGTACCTTCGTTAGTAGCTGGCTCATGATCTTATTTAGGTACCATGAAATCCTATCGGTGGGGCCGCCTACGCAACTGATAATTGGTCTAATTTTGTAAGTTGCCGCTGACATTGAGTTCATTTCGTGCTCGGAAAGCTTATGGGTCTTCAAAAGGCTGTAAAAAACTGGACATGATGGATTTGTCACTTTCAATCTGCTTATGAGACTATCAGCAAGTCCGGCAGATTTGGCAATCGTAATCCATGCGTCACTAAGTTTTTTACATTGGGCTCGATATTCTTTTTCAGAGACCACTGCATACGTTGTAGCGTCTGCGAGGTGGGCTGCAGTTATTTTACGATCCAGTTCCTGCGGCATTATTACAAATTCGCCTCCCTTGTCGCTTACTGATAGACGTACAGAACCATTCGAGATGAGTTCACGGATCTCCTTGAAACCTTGCCACTGATTTTGTGAAAGGTTGCTTTGGCGCTCTCGTTCTGACTTGGTCAAGACTTCTAAGACACCAGAGCATAAGAGCCGGAACTTCATGTCTACACAAAAATTTGGTTCAGGTTGTCTATAGAAGGACGACGGGAATGGGAT